ACCATTCACCATTCTGTGTAATTCCCTGCCCTGCTTCTCACTCACACCACTGAATCATCTCTCTCCGTCCTTTTAACAACCGAACATCCCCAAAGCAGTCTCTGCTCTCACGGCTTGAATGTTTTCATGTCACATTCATTTTTCAGTGAATTGCAGTCTGTCTTCTCTCCTTAATACTTTCCTAAAATTATTTCTCCTAATACTGCCAGTGACCTCTAATTGCTGAATCCAGTGGCCTCTGCTCAATCCTCATTCTTTAGGATTTCTCAACAAGACTGCTCTGCTGCCTTCTTGCCCTTTGAGACACTTGTCCTTCGTTAGCTTCCAAGACAGGACCCTCTCTTAAGTCTCTCTCCTACTTTCTTAGACATCCTCAACTTCATCGTCACTAATTTCACTTTCTGTGACAGCTAAATGTGGACATTCCTTGCAAAGTATCACCCTCCCCTGGGAACCCATAACTTATCAATTTTAGGTGAACACTTCACGCAATTCCATTTTCAATTCTGTTCTCTTGTCTTATTTTCAAATTTGCATTTCCAGGTATTTGCAGTACATATCATAATGAATCTTCAATCTACAGTGTAAAATTATATAACTGGTCCAATCTGAGCTCATAATCCAATCCCATGCTTCTCTTTTCTCAGCTTCCCGTGTCTCTCCCTTAGCATCTCCACCATCTGACGTCCTTCCTACCCCCCATCATCCAAACTCAAAGCTGAGAGATGTCTTTGATTTCTTCCTCTTTTTCTTTATATCTAATAAAGTCCTTCACCTCCGTTAAGTCCTGTCTACCCCAAAATATCTCTAAAATATACCCCCCCTTCTTTCTAGTCTTTAATTCAGGTCTAGTTTCTTGTTTACTCCTGCTGTCTCACTTATAAACTATTAATTATAATTTCTTACTTCTCTATTCAGACATCTGCAATGATTCCCTAATGCTTATGAATTAAAGTCCAGATGCTGTGGGCATTTAAGACCCTGCATAGTGTGGTCCCAGCCTTTCTCTACTGCCTGAAGTCTAATTACACCTTGATTTAACCATCATCCATCTAGGTGGTTCTGTCATTGCCCCTGAACACAACTGGAAAGTTGTTGCTTTCATCCCGTATAGCTATGGCTTCCTGTACTCTCTCCTTTTTCTCTTTCTATATAATCTCTACCTCTTCTCTAAGATTCACCTCAAATCCCTCCTATTCCATGAGATTTTCTTGTGATACTCTGGCTTTCATTCAGCTCACTCCTATCTTGTAATGTTATTGAGCACTTATTTTGTGCTAGTCACTAGGGCATTTTACTGTGATTTAGTCCTTCCTGGCTGTCTTATATCACTGGTTATCTCTTTTTAAATTATTTTTATTGGAATGTAATTCACATACCATAAAACGTATTCTATATTCACAAAGTTGCACTGCTGTGGATCACCACTATATAATTCTAGAATCTCTTCATCACTCCTAAAGGAAACCTGAATTAATTAGCTATCACCCTCCGTTCTCTCCCCCTCACCCCTCCCCACCAGCCTCTGGAGACCACGAATCTACTTTCTGTCTCTATGGATTTGCCTATCATGGGCATTTCATATAAGTGGAATCATACATTATGTGGCTTCTTGTATCTGGCTTCTTGTACTTAACATGATGTTTTCAAGGTTCATCCATATTGTGGCAAGTACCAGTGTATCATTCCTTTTGATGGCTGAACAATGTCTCATTATATTGGTATACCACATTTTCTTTATCTGTTCATCAGTTGATAGACATTTGGGTTGTTTCCAGTTTTTGGCTATTGTGAATAATGCTCCTATGAACATTTGTATACAGGTTTCTGTGTGATCATACATTTTTAATTCTCTTGGGCATATACCTGGTAGTGGACTACTGGGTCTTAGAGTAACTTTACATTTAGCTTTCTGAGGAACTGCCAAACAATTTTTTAAAGAAGCAACACCATTTTACATCACCACTAGCAATATATGCGAGTTTCAGTTTCTCCAAATCCTCATCAACTCTGGTTACTTTCTTTTTGATTATAGCCATCCCCGTGGGTGTGATGTAGTATCTCATTGTGGTTTTGATTTGCATTTCCCTAGTGACTAATGACGTTGAGCATCTTTTCATGTGCTTATTGACAATTTGTATATTTTCCTTAGAGAAATATATATTTAAACTTTGCCAATTTTTAAAATTGGGTTATTTGTCTTTGTATTGTTGAGTGTAAGCTTTGTTTATACATTCTGGATACCGGACTCTTATCTGATATACGATTTGCAATAATTTCTCCCCTTCTGTGGGTTATATTTTCATTTTCTTTATAGTGCCCTTTGAGGCACAAAAGTTTTTAATTTTGATGATGTCCAATTTATTTTTTTCTGTTTCTTTGTGGTTTTGGTGTCATTCCTAAGAAATTAATGTATAATCCGGGGTTATGAAGTTTACACTTATGTTTTCTTCCAAGAATTTTATAGTTTTAGCTCTTACATTTAGGCCTCTGATCCATTTTGAGTTAATTTTTGTATATAGTGTGAGGTAGGTGTCCCATTTGATTCTTTTGCCTGTGGCTATCCAGTTTTCCCACCACAATTTGTTGAAAAGATTATTTTCCCATTGAATTTTCTTGGACCCCACTGATTATCTTTTAACACATATGTTTTTTATCATCTCTAGTTAGGCACTAAGATTTTTGAGGACAGTGGGCTTCTCTTATCTTTAGGTACACTCCTGTGTACTTAACAGTAAGCCTTACCCATAGTAGGTGCCTGATGGATATTTTACTAATTTCTCTCTCTCCAACCAGATAGCAAGTTCTAAGAGGAAGGGACTCTGGCTTGGTTTTGCTCGCCAGTAGGCTGGGATCAATAAATATTTTTGATTGAATGGATGAATGATTTCCCAATGATTAGTTTGTGTCTTACTTTTGGATTTTGGTTCTCTTTTGCAGCAGAATGCTTACTAGGTAAAAGTAATTTTCTTACAGCAAGTCACCAAGGGAAGAGGTGAGTGAGGGGCAAATATGACTCCATAGGATAATCCTAAATTAGTTTTGATTTTGCCACCATATGATTCTACCATATTCATTTTATATTGCTTGGTCCTCTTTAGCTCAGAATACACAACCAGGTTTTGAGTTAAAGGAAACTCCTTTAAGGATCGCAGACTTAACTTAGGAAAATTTCTGATATGAACCCTCCCCATCAGTGTTTTGGGTTATATACCAAGAATTTAAAATAAATAAAATCCGTAAATGAACATGCTAAATCAATCCGAAGCTACTATTTCTGTGTATTGGAGCTTTGACTATTCTGTTGTCAAAGTGTAATAAAAATTAATTTCTTGGTTTTTAATAGGTGCCATTACTTCCTACTGACAGACTTAGACAAAACTTGAAGTGTGAAGCAACATTTTAAATAAGGAGAAGAGGAAATATGTATCTTGCTCGTGGTTTCAGCAGCTCCAAAAGCAATTTGCAAACAAACAAAGAAAAAAATTGGAAATACCCTAAGTACCCAATTATAGAGAAATGGTGAATTATTCTCTACTGATTCAATGAAGTGCTAAGTTGCAACTAAAAATAATACTTATGAAAATTATATACCAATAAGGAAAAATATTTATGGTACAATGTTAAGTGCAAAAAGCAGATTATATTATGCAGTGATTGCAACGGGGTAAAATTATGTAAATTACTATGAACTAGGGCAATCAAGCATCCTGGTTTGCCTCTGACTATCTGGGTTTTTCCTACATCTCAGGAAATCCCTCATTTCTGGACAAACTGGGACGGTCAGTCACCCTACCATGAACAGATTGCCAAAGGAATAATTGGGGAGAAAGTTGTGGCAAGGATTTTCATGCTTCTTTAACAGTAGACCTTAACGGTGTTTCATATTATGAGTTATGTGAGGTCAGTAAAAACTAATTATTTGAGATCATATAAATGAATAAAATAAAATTCTTAAGGAAACCATGGGTTTGGAAAGGGTTCGTCATATATATTTCAGAAGTGGAGAAAATAAGATAGAAATAAGATCTTGTCTCTCTTGAATGTTTTCTCGTTAAATTTTTTCCTTGAGTCTACCATTGCCACACTCTCTTCCCTTTCCTCTAGTTCAAGGCAGGAGTGCCTGCCACGTGTTTCAGTCACGTTCTGGAGTGCTGAGAGGGAGGGGTACGTTATTAATGACCTATTCCATGAAAATTTCCCTTGGGTGTGTGTGTGTAAGAATATACTGCTGTGAATAGTCGATATCCTCACATTTCACGGTTCAAACCCAGATTGGGGTTATGTGAATATGAATTTAGGGCTACAGGAGCCTCCCTCGGTCTGATGTGACAAGAGCACAGAAGACTGGGGAAATATCACATTGGAAATCATCTGTTGCAGACAAGATCACAAACATAGTTTTATTCATTTAAAGCTAATTTTGAGGACTTTACATAGAGAGAGAAATGTCTTACCTCCTTTTTTTCTAATCACAGGAAATATCTTCCATTGGTGGTCCCTAACGAAGTAGAAATATCACAGGGAGTGGAAATTACATTGCCCAAATACCCGCCAGAATCTGACAGCACTCAACAAGTAGAAAAGGCTCAAATGTGGTTGATGGATTAGAGTGACATCTTCCTAGGTTAACAGGAATCGAGAAGCAGAGTAGCTATTGCCTGAAATTTGGCATTGTAACTAATTATGTTATTTTCAAGCATGATCTTCGTTCTGAGAATGTCTGTGGCACTTGGTGTCTGTATTACATAGGCTAACAGCTAATTATATATTAATGATGTAAGTAGTTTTCCAAATGTTGTGAATGTCTAACCTGATTTCTGACTCTTTTGTGTCTCTCTCAACACCTGTTTCTTGCTGGTCAGAGAACAGGCGCTCAATAGAACCTGTTGACTTGGCTCTAGTAGTTTATGTAGGCAATTTGATTATTTCAAACATTACTGATTTTAAAACAGTAAGAAGATCTAGGTATGAAATAAGGCTCTCAAAATTACTAGCTGTGACCATTGACAAATTACCTTTATTTATTTACAAGTTACTTAGACTCTGAATCATTTGTAAAAGAGGGATAGGGATTTTTTTCCTGATCATGGAAGATCAAATGCAATTATTTGATAAAATACTTTGTGAACTGGAAAATATTCTATAAATACAAATGTTGATTATCATTTGAGATTTAGGTACTCATTACGGCATTTTTCTTTCATTCTTTATTCTTTTGCCTAAAGGCTAAAAGTAGGTAGACTTAAGAGCCTAGAGCAGGAGTTAGGGAAGTTAAGACAGATAGAGACATGTCCATGGATAAGCTGTGCTGTTTGTACAAAGAAAGGGTTGAGTATTGGCCACTTAGAGCTTCCCTGATGGGATGTGGAGGCTCTAAGAATATGCCGTGGTGTCAGCCCCATAGAAAGACAGATGGAATAGGTTCTTTATTGCACCTCATTATTATTATTATTTACTTTCCTTAAAACAATGGTGCAAAAGGGACTCCACCAAAAATGTAGATGTGGAAGGAATTACAGATAGTTTAGGGATGGCGTGGAGCAGTCATTTATCTTTTTCAAAAGGTGCACTCTCCCTGTTGCAGAGGGAAGAAATGAAAAAAACTACTACTATTGCTATTACTACAAAGCCTTCTCCAAGGAAAAGGCTAGTGAGAAATCACATTCTGCAGCATTTCTTCTGCTTTTGTTTAACGTAAGAAAGGTGCTGCAAACAAGAAACATGAAGACAAAATCTGCTGCAGTGGCTGTATTCTCTGAACAAGGGAGAGGGAGCTGTGGCAAGCCCATGCAAAGATCAGAGAGAGAGGTGGAGAATACATGCAGAGTGCCTCAAGAAAGGGGGGTAGATATGTCTCTTGGAAGCTATGAACACTAATGCTTAAAAAAAAAAGGAAGCAGAAAACAGAAAAACTAGTTTAAGGGATGCTATCATTTTCTATTGGTGAGGATTCCTGATCTTGGGGAGGTTCTGGAAAGTTTACTTCTGCTGCTTCTTCTTCTTCCTCTTGGACCGGAATAATTTCAATGTCTTCTTCATTCTTTGGTTGGGAAGATACTTCAGTCATCTCAACCACTTCTTCTTTTATTTCTATTGCCGGTTCCTTTTTTTCTTCAGCTGACAGGAGAACTACATTCTAGAACACAAAATTAAACAAACTTTTCTCGACCTTCACCATTGGCACATTTCTCAACAATCTCTACAAATATTTATCAAATATCTCCTAGTTTTTATGCTACTTATGTTATTTCCTATATGCCTCCAAATACCAGGATTGATTTCCCAAGTGCTCAAATCCTTATCAAATCACTTATCAGAACTCATCTTCAAGGCCAGCAGATATTTGCCACTTTGCCTGGAATGATCATGCGGTACTTGGGAAAGAACACTGCAGTAATAGAGGAATTTAGATTCTAGTTTTGATTTGCCTTTATTGGATATAATTGGGAAAGTAATTTTCCCTCTAATCCTATTTTCCTCATCTGCAAAATGAAGGAATTAGTGATGATATCTAAATTTTATTCTGAATCTAACATTCTGTGGTTCTGAAGCAGTTGGTAATAGCTCTAGCACTGGGATATTCATATCTCCCAATTGTGGAGCCTCTGTGAGCCTATTGTTTTGGAAGAGAGATTAGATGGAAAGTTAGCGGGGAAGGGAATACTGAGAAATGAGATGGAAGAATGAGATGGAATGGCTTTAATCAGCCTTCAGCCATCCTGCTTTTACACATTGAGTACGGTATGAAATCAAGATAGATGCCTGAAGGCAAGCAGAACTCAACGTTAGTAAGAGGGTGCACATATTATAGAACTGTATCCTCTCTCTAACTTTTAGAGTTATTTCAAATTTCAAGACATTTTCCCCCATTATTGATGTTTTCTGCTTTCTAGAAATATGCTAACAAGATTTTTCATGAAGCTCCCAGTTTCAAAGTCTCATCAGATTACATTCTCTATAAATGATCCTTTGTAGACATGATTTTCCTAGAGGGAGGTGTGGAGAAAGTGGCTACTACTTACAGCTTTGGGTCTGGAGCACAGTTTTTTCCATTCATTCTCAACAACGCCAGCTGTCACAAGTTTCTGGAAGAAGGCGAAGATCAGCATCACTGCAAAAATGCCCTGAAGAACAACAGAAAAATGAGGGTGAAAATGTAAGAATGGCTTAGAGAATATGGTTGGTGCTCAGTAAATGACTGTTGGCTAAAATTAAACGATTGAAAGGTCAATTCTTCCAGTGAGTAATGTCTAACTGTAAGAACTACTGGTATGTTTATAACCCAAACCCTTAGCACACCTCCTGGCACACAACAGTAATTAATGCTTGTTGCTAATAGAAAGTAAGACAGTAATAAATAGTTGAAGAATCAATTCTACGTAGGAAAAAATAGTTACTGAGTCCCACATTAAGTTGCATCCAGCTTTGGGTGGTGTGCTGTCACAACCAAGGAAACCTCTCCACACTTGGGAGACACATTTTTTTCCCTTAAACTCTACACTAAAAACTCCTTGAGGCAAAAGACGTTCATAACAACTTAGGTATTTCTTCAAAGTTCATCTTAATAATAATAATAAATATTAATACCATTAATAATAATAATAATAAACATTAAAGCAAACACTTATATAGCACTTTCTCTGTACCAAACACTGTTCTAAGTGCTTTGCATATATTAACTCCTTTATCCCTCAAAACAGCCCTACGAGATAGGTACTGTTACCTTCCCCATTTTACGGTTGAAGAAATTGAGGCATAGTGAGGTTAAAAGTCTTGCCCAAAGCCACATAAGCAATAAGTAGCAGACACAGACAGTCTAGATCCAGAGTTGATGTTCATAATAAAAATGCCGTACTTCCTCCCTGAAAAGAAACCCAATTTCCCACTTACCAAGAACACAGATCGTATGCTGTCACAATATTGATTAGATAGAGAGTTTTTCTCAGAGGGGTTTACTGGTTCACAGTTGTGTATGTTCATATATGGCGTGGGAACTTTAATAAGATTCAGACTCTCCATTTTAAAAAAATGGGAAACTGTAATATTAAATATGTCCATGATCAATAAAATTATTCCAGAAATGGCAGCAAAGAGGCTCAGTGAGTTCATTATCATTTTTGCTTTGACCTGAAATGGAGACATAAAGATTTATTAATTGGGTTTGATTTACATTTGAAGAATATAAGCTAGGAAGGGATTTCAGACCCCATTCCCCTGATTCACAAAGGTCCTACACCTACACCATACTAAAATTCTTCTCTCAGTTATTTTTAGTCTCTTTGTTACTATAAAGTAAAAACCTTCATCTCTCATTCCTGTTTCTTTCTCGGGCATCCCCATCTCCTTTTATACTATCACGTCCAGTTAGTTCATCAAGAAAAAATTCTAGGAGTGATCCTTAATTCTATATCTTGTATCCTCGCTCTTCTTTTCACTGCCACTGCCACCATCCTAGTAGGCATTCAATAAATATTAGTTGAGTAAATGAAGATAAATAGTATTCAGATATCTGTCTGCATAAGAAGTTAGAGAGAAGATAGAGAAGGAGGTTCTTCCACCGCAATGAAGCAGGATGGTATTGTGTATATAGGAAGGGAAAGAGCAGATAGAAACCTCTAGGTCTGTGCCATCAAGTGGAAACAGCAGCAAGAACAACACCACCACCTGTTGACATAGGTTGCAGTCAGCCCCAGTCAACCATCTTTCAAAATACAATTAGGGGTGTTGTCTCTGGGTAGCATAGGTAAGAGGATGTCACTGTGAATGTTCTACCTTGCAGGGATGATAAAAGATAGAAACAGGAAAATATGTGTGACAAGTATCATAATGGTATGGGATTATTGATGATTATTTTAAGACAAACATATATTTCATCCCTGGCTATATGACCTATAAATGGCAAGTCAGTAGGACTAGCTGCATTTGGAGAATAAAACAACTTGATCTTCGTAAACAGTTTTTGTTCCTCCCAAACCGAGCTTGTCAGACCACCTCTAGAGAGGAGCCATCTCAATCCACTCAGTCCCCTCGCTTCCTTTGGAAGTGACTCAAATTAGTAATAGCTTAGTAAGTATAAAAAAGTTGGAGGAGGAAACTTGCTGGTAAGCTCTTGATCTGTACAGAATTGGGAGCTCTTCCTGGGTGTAAATGCATCCCTAGGGGTTGTATGAACAAGACCCCTCTGTAGCTCTGTATAGCCTCTGCAGCACTTCCATATACATTACTCTATTTCATCCTCTCGAACATTTCAAATGATAGAAAGGACTGCTATCTCCATTTTATAGGTGAAAACGCAGAGGTATATGGAGATAAACTGACTTGCTCAAGGTTATAGCTCAAGGTCAACTAGGACTTGAGTCAATCATGGCCTTGATTCGACAGTTTTCCTAAATGGTGGTCTGAGAGAAATGACACAGTTTTCAAAGAGATCTATTAGTCTCACGCAACGTTTAACATTCATAAGACCAGAAGCATGCTCTTCATCGATCTGCCTTTAATTCTGTTTCCATGGACATATTTCAGATAGTTTTTCATGAATAAAATCACAACAGCATTATAGAGGATCTTTTGCTTTTTAGGGTTTAGAGAGAACTCAATGCTACTGTGATTCCAAAGGTCTTTAAGGGACCTTGTTTTTAACTGAAAAAATAGATATTTCTCTGATGCATGGGAAAGAAGAACATACGATTACTTGCCAAACTGTTCCTGGGGTTTTTCTCTGCTGCTGCCAGGAGCGATCCAGAAATGATGAACTGTAAAAAGAGAGGTGGTGGGTGGGGAAGGGCATGGGAGAGATGGAAGAAGCAGCAGAGAGGGAGGGAGGGAGAGAAGGAGATCACTTTTTAACATTGAGAACTGGTTGTAAAAAAGCTATCCATACTTTCAGCCGCTTTCACTAAACTATCCAACCATTTTTATCAGATTCAGTCATTTTTCAGCAGTCACGTTTCCCCTTTATTCAGACTCAACTACGTTCAATCCATGCCTTTTATTCAACCAATTGGGGACCTGTGGCTAGGAATATAATAAGACCAAAGAGGCAGAACTCAGATTTCCATGTCAGTTAATACTCACACTGTGAATTTACAAGTTTTATTTTTAGTTCCTCTTTTTTTTTTTTTTCAATTTGTGGAATTGCTCTTAGGAGTTCACAGTGATTTAAATGGCTTTGATGTCAATGCAGAGTGAGTTGATGTAGAAGGAAATACTTGGCTTGAATGTCATAGGCACTGCATTAAAATGTTGGCTGCTACAGGAAGTGATGATGATTATTTCTCATCTTCCTTTCCTACTGTTCAAGCTGTAAACTGGGGGAAACTCTTATTCTAATCTCTCTCTCCTTGTTTTGAAAATTTCAGTCCTGGGCTCGTCTTTGTGTTAGCAACTATGAAAGTGTAATGGTGATATAAACATCACTGCCCCATACCACACCCAGACAGGGTCACAAGCTTGGAAATATGTACACAAAACAGCCATCAGAAGTGCTGCTCTATTGATAAGTGAAAGGAGATTTATTTGGGATGGGACTAATTTCACCATGTATGATAGTAACTAAATAGAATTGTAGGGAAGAAGGACCAGGTGGGAGGAAGTGGGATGCTCCTGCTCCCTCTTGCTTTCTGATACACCATGCTATACAATCCAGATGTCTTGTGCCCTCCCCCACCCCACACACACACAGATTGTCTTTGGAGAGATACTGCTTTGAACAACCTTTCTTCCCCGTGTAGATCCATGTAGGGCATCTTTTTCTGAATTCACATGAAGCTTGACCACTGACTCTCAACCATGGGATTCACGCTCAATTTAGTCAACCTCTCTTTCCACTAAATTACTTTAACCTGATAACCTATTTCCTACCCATATACTTTCCTCAACACATAAATAATCTGGTATATTCCTGTGGAGCAGTTTTTTTTTTTTTTTTTGGGAGGAAGATCAGCCCTGAGCTAACATCCATGCTAATCCTCCTCTTTTTGCTGAGGAAGACTGGCTCTGAGCTAACATCTATTGCCAATCCTCCTCCTTTTTTTTTTCCCCAAAGCCCCATTAGATAGTTGTACGTCACAGTTGCACATCCTTCTAGTTGCTGTATGTGGGACGCGGCCTCAGCATGGCCGGAGAAGTGGTGCGTCGGTGCGCGCCCGGATCCGAACCCAGGCTGCCAGTAGCTGAGCGCACGCACTTAACTGCTAAGCCACGGGGCTGGCCCCCTGTGGAGCTATTTAACATTTTTGTCTGCATCACTCCCCAAAGGACTGTTAGTTTTTACTTACCATAATGCCGCCCCAGAGAGGGTACCACACAGTTATACAAATGGGTGCATGGACCTTCAAGTGGGTCATCAGCAGGCCGCCTAGGGCAATGTGGAAGAGCCCATTCATAATCTGGACAGCCTGGGGAGAGAACAGGGGCACTGAACTGAAAATCATCACTGATGGATGAACTGAAATCGTCAAGTCAGAAAGCAAAGGTAAGGCTGGAAGCCCTGACTCCTGACCTGGGCTGTGTAAAATACCCAAAGGAAGTGGTGGAGGTACCAGGACCTTCGTCTTGTTCAGATCCATTTTCCCCACCACCTGGGGCATTTCCAAGGCAGATATACCTGGGATGCTGGCAATGAACTGGCAGGAGAGAGCCCTAAATATGCAAACCTCAAAATCAAAAGGGGGCAGAAGATCACCTTGATAACTTCTCTGATACATCCTGATTCAGCCCACTGTGTCAGCCATAAAGGACACCTCAGGTTGGATCAAATACCGCCAGGTTGGATTGAATTCTGTACCTCACCTACAGCATCTGCTTGTGTAGGCCAGAGACTCCCTAGGATATGAAATGAGGACAGCTGACTCACCCCCAAAGCCTTAGATTCCCTCATGAAGAAGCTTTGCGTCGGGCCCACCACAGAAGGCATCCTCCTAGGAAGTCCTTTTTGAGTAGGATGCATGGCAACAGGGCCTTTCACAGTCTCTGCTGGGAAAGCTCCACTCATTGAATTTCTGGGTGTTGTCATTTCTCTCTCAAAACTCCTAAAAATAAAACAAATGATAAAATGAGGAAAGAAAGAACAGGATTTTCAGCAGTCTTTTATCTTGTGCCATGCATCTGAATACTTTTCTCTGTATTCTCTCCATGGCTGTCATTGAGGGTAGACATGGCCTCTTCCTAGTGGTTTTGGCTCTGAGGCCATGCCCACTGCCACGTTCTGAGACCAGATCCAGAGGGGGCATCTCAGGCAAGAACATATAGGCCCAGGGGTCCTTGCTGGTATTCTTGATGGCCATGTTTGGAGAATACTTTATCTTTGTAGAGAGCACCATGCTCATGTATCTGCATGTCCTATTTGTCTCTCATCCCTAGATGCTTTTCTTATGCTTTAATACTGGAAAATGTATTTTGTATTGACTTGTCCTTGTCTCTTTGCTTATCTGCTTTTGTCCATTGTGATGGGCCAGAGGCCCATGACAGATTATGGTAAAGATTGTCCTTGGCATTAGGAGAGGCTGATTCTAGTCTTTCCTCTACCTCTAACTCTGTGACCTTGAATAAATCCCTTCAAGGAGCCTCTCTAAGGTTGTGTGTAAGACCATGGCCTCCTGAGTCCGATTGCCTACGTTTATATCATGATTCTTCTATTTGCTGTGAAACTTCAGGCAAGTTCTTTAAATTCTCTGGGCCTCAAGTTCTTCAGCTGTAAAATGGGAACAATAATATTTCTTGTCTCGTAGGGTTGCTGTAAGACTTAAATGGGTTGATGGTCTGTGCCTGGCTGGTGTCTTTTCATTCAGGTGTAGCTCAGATGTCAGCTCCTCATAGAAGCCTTCCCTGAACCCTCAATCCACAGTGCATCCTCTAAGTTACTCTCTCTCACAACACCCCATTTTATTTGCCTGATGGCACTTATCACTGTGGGCAATTACCTTGATTATTTGCCTGCTGGTTTATTGTCTCTTTGCCCACCAGAACATAAATCCCATCAAAGCAGAGACCTGTTCTCTCTTGTTCAGAGTCTAAAATTATGCCTGGATTTAGTAGTTTCTTAATAAATGTTAATGAAGAAATAAATGTATGTAAATTAGCACCCATATCTGAATAATTATTACCTGTTTTTGTTGCTATTCTTTTTTTAATCATAGTTCTTTGTTCTTTTTTTTTAATTAAGGCTACATTGGTTTATAACATTATATAAATTTTAGGTGTACATCCTTATATTTTGACTTCGGTGTAGACTGCATCATGTTCACCACCAAAAGCCTAGTTTCCATCCATCACCGTACACGTGTGCCCCTTTACCCCTTTCACCTACCTACCCCTCACACCCCTTCCCCTCTGGTAACCACCAATCTGTTCTCTGTATTCATGTGTTTGTTTGTTGTTGTTGTTTTATCTTCCACATGAGTGAAATCATACAGTATTTGTCATTCTCCATATGACTTATTTTGCTTAGCATAATACCCCCAAGGTCCATTCATGTTGTCACAGATGGCAAGATTTTATCTTTTTTTATAGCTAAGTAGTATTCCATTGTGTATATACACCACATATTCTTTATCCATTCATCCATCAATGGGCGCTTATGTCGTTTCTAGGTCCTGGCTGTTGTAAATAATGCTGCAGTGAACATAGGGGTACACATATCTTTTTGAATTAGTGTTTTCACGTTCTTTAGATAAATACCCAGAAGTGGAATAGCTGGATCATATGGTAGTTCTATTTTTAATTTTTTTTGAGGAATCACCATACTGTTTGTTGCTATTCTCATTCTTAGTATTATTACCTGTATGAACGTTAGTTTCTGTTTTTTTCCATCTGAAAAATGAGAACAATACCCCTTTCACAGATATGCTGTGAGAAATAAGTTAACATGTGAAAGTGCCTAGTACATAGGAAGAAAGTAGTAAATGCTGTTTGTTCTTAGAATTCATGATTTATTAATTTCTGCAGTTAGACAGTGATTATTACCAAGGTCCTTTCCAGCTCTAACATTTTAAGACTGTTCAACCTTCTTCATCTCGTGCTTCCTTTTGGTATTCATTTGTTCATGTCAATTACTTCCATGAATTCTATTGGGTCTTTCCTGGGCCCTGGAAATCTCTCTGTAGGGACACATCTTTGATCTTGTCTTTATTGACTTCAAGTCATTCATATAAGGGGATTTGGAGACCAGGACTGTCTGTCCAGCTCACTTATCTTACTGAAGTCACACAGACCTGAGCACTTGCAAGTATGCTATAAGACAGGTGTCTGGGAGTCTCCCAGGCCTCACATTTGTACCCACTTGGTAGTTACAAAGAGATTTCACATCTGGCATATCATTTGAGCCTCGTAGAGTAGACAAGGGATGAATTGTTGGCCCTATTTTGTAGAAAAGGTAACAAGGGCACAGAAAAGTTAGGTAACTTCTTCAAAGTTACATGACTATTAGAGATTTAAGATGAGGATTTGGTCCTATACAGCGAGGTATCCATAGTATCAGGCTGCTTTGTCCCCAGTGGGGAATAGGAATTCAGCCTTTCACTTATGAACCTCTTCCTACTCCTTCAAATAGATGTGCTATATTCAGTTGCAAACAGAAGGTCTGTCTGGGCCACAGGCTGAAGGGAAGAGAGGAAGCTTTCACTGGGTGCTTCACAATTGATTTTGCCCCAGCTCTAGATTATCAGGTGTCATGTGGTCTCGGGGATCTGCTTTGCACCACAGACCACCCCACAAGACCCCCAACAAAATGGAATATATATATATATATATAGTGTGTGTGTGTGTGAGGATCAGCCCTGTGCTAACATCTGCCAATCCTCCTCTTTTTTTGCAGAGGAAGACTGGCCTTGGGCTAACATCCGTGCCCATCTTCCTCCACTTTACATGGGACGCCGCCACAGCATGGCTTTCTAAGCGGTGCGTCGGTGCACGCCCGGGATCCGAACCGGCGAACCCCGGGCCGCCGCAGCAGAGCGCGTGCACCTAACGGCTTGCGTCACCGGGCCGGGCCGGCCCCCAAAAAGGAATATATTAATACTGCCCACTAAGGAGTTTACAAATGGATTCTGGTCACCAGGCAGGATTTTTGGAGCTAGTCAGAACCTCAGAAACCATTGTGTTCATCTGATAAATGAGGAAACTGCGGCCCAGGGATGGGACATGCCTTGTTAAAGCCCTCGCACTTCGTGACAGAGCCAAACCAGAAGGCAGTCACCAGGGCTCTAAGGCTGGTGCTCTTTCTGCTGCACCACAGGCTAGACCAGCTGAGTATAGGTGTTACTGAGCACCTACTATGGGCCAGGGATATTGTGTATCTAGTTCCAACTCTTCCCACAGCTTCCTCATTAAGTAGGCATTTTGTTGTTTGTAAAGATGTGGATATGGAGGTTCAGAGAGGTTAATTAACTTTCCCATGGTAAGTGTGGAATGACACTGCTCTCCAAAGGGCTCATTTTAGTGAGGGCACTCACTAAAGAGTAAAGGTCGTCAATAATCTGGTCAGAAGGAGATGTTTGGACTACCGTTGTTTTAATTTCTCCCTCATCAACTGCTTAAGGCTGTGTCTGTATTATTGATGAGATAAACCTTTTAATAAGCAGGTTCTACTGAGGCTGTGTCTGTAATGACTAATGGCAGTAATGACCATTGGGGGGAAATATTTTACTTCTCTAGTAACATGATGCCTCATTTTGGAAACTATATTTCTACAAAGCCTTCAACAAATATTACTGTAAAGTAGTTCTTTTTAAACAGAAACATACCTGTTTCTATATGCTACTTGCATTTTTTATGGAAGTAGTGTGTCTAAAATATTTTTTTTAATGCTAGGGCATTGTAGACTGACTGGGTAATGAAAAATTTCATTCTACGGGAATATATAAAACTAGACCACATACTCCTAAGTATAGGATAGATTCCTGCATCTTTGCCTATCATTAAAAATTAAAAAAGAATGTTCACATTGACTTAGTGTCCAACACACAATTATGCTCAAAGACTTGTTGGTACATTAGTAGGCGTACTGACCATATTGGGCAAAATGTGATAGTAATAGGATTTTATTTCCACTAAGCTATATTGAAATCAGGACTCAGTTTATCAGACACTGCTCCATTTAATTACAGCAACTTCTGCAAATCTTTTTTGTTTTTTTAAAAGGCACCACAGTTTCTGTGTCCATCCCCTGAAGAAGAGCTCACACCTTTTATGGGTTTTGGTTTGAGTAATGATTTTTAGGTCCAATAATTCCATCATTTGCTGAGAAGTTCGACGCTACTTAGCTTTTGTTACCTCAGCTTCCTCCTTTCCCACTCAAAATAGTTTTGCATTTTTATCTTTTCGGGCCCCTTGCACATTTATCTCGGAGGGAGAATGTTCTTACTTCCTTTCCCTCTGCCTATGCTCCTTAGCCCATCTCTTTCCTCTAAGACCTCAGTCCTTCAAAGAAATTGAAGGACTTGCATCTTCAGTCTCTCACTTTTATTTATGGCAGTGTGGAGCAGAAGGGGCTGGTCCCAGCTCTGTTGCTTGCTCCTTTTGTGATCTCTCTATTCAAAGTATTGTTTTGAGAACATGAGATAATTTGCAATGTATAAAGTACTAAACACTCAAAGAACAATTGTTATTACTGGACCTTTTTTTATGATTAAAACGTGCTGCAATGTCCCCAATCCCAAAGCCCCTTCCAGTCTAGCAGCGTCCCCGGCCACTGCCCAGTCTCTCCTCTCCTTTAGCCACAGCTTCTTAAAAGCTGATCAAATACTACTCAGCCATAAAAAAGAGACAAAATCATCCCATTTGCAACAACATGGATGGACCTTGAAGTATGATGCTAAGCAAAATAAGCCAGACAGAGAAGGACAAATACTGCACGATTTCACTCACATGTGGAAGATAAACACATGGATAAAGAGAACAGATTAGTGGTTACCAGAGGGGAAGGTGGCTGGGGGTGGTGGGCAAAAGGGGTCACGGGGCACATATGTATGGTGATGGATAAAAATTAGACCACTGGTGGTGAATACGATGAAGTCTGTACAGAAATTGATAAATAATAATGTACACCCGAAATTACACAATGTTATAAACTTATGATTTCAATAAAATAATTTTAAAAAATTAAAAAAAAAAAAGCTGATTGATCTTTCCACTCTCCTCTTCCACGTCCTCACCACCCGCTCACTCCTCAATGCTTCAACTGTTCTGCCAGAGCCACTCAACTGAAACTGCTCTCTTTAAGGACTGTACAGCAAAGTCAGTGCCTTTCCTCAGGCCTCATCCCTCAGATTGCTTTATTTCTGTTTCCCCTCTCACCCAGGCTGAAAAAGTTGGAACTGTATTTCACTCCAGTTCCTTTATCTCCTACATTCAGTCAATGGCGAAGTCATGTCGTTTCTTCCTTGTAATATATCTTGTCTTGCATATGGACCTTTTTTCTACTTTCAGTGTCACCCGATGAGTTTGACTCTCATTTCCTCTCCTGGTTTAAGCACAAAAATCTTGCTTTTCTGCCTTCAGTCTTTCTCTTTTCTAATCCATCCTCCACAAGGCTGCTAGATCAGACTCCCTAAATCACTGCTTAAGTCGTGCTCCTCGTGAGGTTCAACTTTCTCTGATCCGTCCTTGCCTTTTGGAGAAGCCCTTCACCTGGCTCCTCCCGCCCTTCACAGTTCAGCTCCACATAACTTCGGAAGCTCACGTCCAACTGTTCCCCACCGGAGCCCCTGGTCTGGACGTGCCTCCCGCTTTCTTCTCTAAATCCTCTCCACTTTGAAAGGCTCTTCCTCCCACCTCTTGACTGTCAGATTCCCCATAAGACATTCACATCACCTGAGGCTGTTCTTGCTCTCCTCACCTGATGGCAGGACTTCTTCAAAGCCCACAGCTCTTTGCATTCCTTACTTGTCACCAGCTGTTTTCTTTCTACGTCATATTGTAACTTCTCTAATGGGGTGTAAATTCCTTAAGGGAATGTTTTACTAGGATTACATAGGGAACCTATGTTCTCCATCCTTTGAGCTCAAAAAACGTTAAATGGAATATTAAACTGAACTGCTGTCTCAGGGCAGGTTTACAAATGCTCGGGATGTCAGACCAAAAGGTGACAATTTTATCTCACCCGATGACCACTGAGATCAAGCCATTTTACAGGAAACAAGGAAAGCGAATCACATTATATACAGGTGTCAGGAAACAATTAGGACAGGGTTAAAATTCACCTTTGTTTCCTTTTATTAGAGCTTCCTCATCTCCAGTGCCCACTCTCACTCTAGGCTTCTGTGATAGATTTGAGGCAGGATATTGTGCTCAATTTGGTGTCCACTAGTACCCTCCAGAAAATGTTAGCAGCCTGTGAGGGTTAACAACATCTGGGAGGATTTATGTTTAGCGGGAAATCTTCGGAGACAAAAGCATTTAAAACAAGAGGAATGGAGTTATTTTCATTATAGCCATGACTGATTAGTTATTTGGTACCAGGCGGTTCTAAGAGCTTGGGGATTATAGCTCATTTAACCTTCATAATGCAATGGGTATTATCACTATACCCGTTTTATAGATGAGGAAACTGAGGAACATAGAGGTTTAGTGACTTGCCGAAGTTTATATGGCTTGTAAGCTTGTAAGCCATATAACCTCAAAGTCAGGTTTGAGCCCAGCAGGTTAGTAACCATGCTTTAATCTACATGCTGCAATCTGCTACTTTTGTGGAATGACTCACAGTTGATTGGCCAGGGTCATTCTTGAGAGAGAGAGTGGTTAAGGAAGTGGGTGAGCAGCAAGCCTTGGTATCAGCCCTTCTCAAATCATAACACTCTCAGAAAACCTGACCAGGGAAGTCCTGGAATTAAAGTCAAGGAACTCCAGTCTCCAAAGCCATCCTATGCCTTATCCACCCATCACTCCTTGTAGTCATTTAAACAAAGCAAACTGATTCCTTACCTGAGTCTCCAAGGCCTTGGGGCTCAAGGGCTGATTTGGATGCCTGCTGCTGTGTTCAGTTCCGCTGCTTCTTTCTCAAGTACACAGCGGGTGAGTGAGATGGGCCGGGCCTGGGATCTCTGATAGCTACCAGGTGACAGGAAATCAGTGGCTTCTGCTACCTTGGGCTTCGCCCCAATTACTTTGGTTTATTACACACTCACCAGAGCCGAAGGATATACAAAAAAGTTTCTGCTTTACCAGGAGGTTTCACTTCTTGAAAAAGACCCCAGGGGACTGCCTGGCATACTTCACATTACCTTAATTAGAAGAACTTTGCAGCCCCCACCCTGTAAGCAGGTGTGGATGGTGAGTCCCCAAGGGCAAGCAGGGCTCTAGAAATTCTCCCAAGATGGGCTGTTAGGACTTTACCTTTTTACTTCACTTTTAGGAGAGAGTAGGTGGGAAGGAGGCATCCATGCAGAGAGATTGAAGAATCATTAAGCCCATCCACTTGGGAGTGTTGTACATAGTCTCCAGATATTATCCTCATTTGTGCACACTATGGTTCTAGTGGGACCGTGTATGTTTTGTGTCAGATTTAGTAGAAATGACCTAAAAATGTACTTTAGTGCTGTAGAACACACACCCCGAGGCTTGAGGTCTTCAAGAGTTCCATATTTTGGGATATAAATTGAAATAGCACTTTTACCTACAAACCCACCTTTTCCTCCATCTGTCTAGTTCCCTTGTATCCTCTCTTTTCAGTCTGGTCTGGAGCTGTGTGGCCATCAATGTTACACTTCTTGGCCATCACCAGGAAGCTGGTGGCCAGGAGTGTGTAAACATTTGGGAGATGAATCAAAGAAAGTTTTGCCCAAAGAGGTTATACCCCCTGCCCCTGCCAGATTCAACCTTTATGTTCATATGTTGGGTTTTTCATTACTTTTTAATTTCCTTGTCCATTGCTTTATTTCATTAGAGACCCAGGGCTGAAGTTAGGTAATTATTTGTTTGCCTAATCTAAAGGGCTGAAATATGGCAGCTCTATTGATGAATCTGAGGTTAATTCATATCTTCTCTCTCTCTCTTTTCTCTATTTCTTCCTCTGCCTATCTTTTCTTTAAGATAGTTTGGAATCATAGGATTAGAAAAAATGGGTAGTAGTAGTTTTGGAGAGGCTGATTTTGGTGCAACATAAAAAGATGCTATCTCCCACCATTGGAGCAGTTCATTAGTGGAACAGGCTACCATTTGAATAGAGAACTTGGTCATCAAGAATATGCAAGTAAAAGCTATGCAGTCACCCCTTATCAATGCTATAGAGAGGAGAGGAGTGGAAACATAAGATCCACCATCCATTTAAGATTCTGGTTGTGGGCTTATGAATTTCTGCTCAAGTGCTTGAATGGTTGGTGGCAGGAATGATAATTACCTAGCGTCTGAGTTGTGGATGATTGTGAGGCCCGAGGTTTGAGTCTAGGATGATGGGTGGTTAGAGGTGTGTGTCTTCATTTTAGTGAGCATGGGAGTGGGATCAGAACTTGGCAAATGTATGGCATCGATGCGGCTTGGATTGGGGTTGCACAGCCTGATTTTTCATATCCTTTTCTGTGTATAGGCCCTTGTTTTTCCCAGGTTTGTCTGGGGTTGTTTGTTACTCTGGTTTTTGTGGCCAGGGGGCTCACTTAGGTGGCTCTGTGTGTGATTCCTCCTGAATACACTTGAATTTGAATGTATATAAATAAGTAAACTTTCACTTTGTCTTTGCTGGTTTGGCTCCATTGACTTTTCAGTGCTTGAGTGTGTTGCAATCCTACTACAATTTGGATTTGTCAGGAGCACTTTCTTTGTTCCATTATTTTTTTTCCTGTGTAATGTTTGAGGATATTTTATCAGGTCTATTACACGTCTAAAATTTCTGTCTCTGAATTAAACTTCTTGTCATTGTCTAGTGGCTTTCTTGCTTCCAAATGATGATCTCTTTCTTCAAGTCTACATAAAAGTTTATTAACTAAACTTTTATTTACTTAATATTTGCCCAATAGGAATTTTTCTTTTTTTTATTCCTCCCACCTCCTAGCACTCCGCCTTTATTTTTTATCCTTTAAACATTTGCCTCTCTTATGAAAACTACATTCTATGTCATAATTACTTGTGTTTTTACCTTACACAGCCATTGGTCTATATTATATGTCCCTTGAAAGCAGGGATGATTTTTCTGATTGCTGGGTTCTCTGCAGTGCTCTGAGAGATAATGGTTCTGCTTTGGTTCTTTCTCCCATCCAGATGGTTATCACAATGCTGTCCAGTATCAGGAAGTAATATTACAGTGTGTTTTAGTTGTTCAGCAAGGCGCTGACACCCAGAGTTATCTGGTGTTGGAAGGTGTTGGTGTCAGAGAATTGGTAAGGGAGATGCAGGGTCCCTCAGAGATGAAATTAAAGATCTTATTGCAAATAGAACTTGGTTACAAGTTGGAAATTCCCACTGTTGTACTTATAATTAATACTAAGGAAATATAAGTCCAAGTACTTAAGAGCTTTGTAGTTTTATGAGGTCTTCTTTCTGTTCCGAGGGACTACTTTACATTTTTAACAGTTAGGAAAGTAACATTAGTTGAATATCTACTTATATGCCAAGCACTGTCCATTTACCACCTATAGTATTGAGTCTATTTTGTAATTGTGGAAACTAAAGTTCAAGAAATGGGGGAAACTGGCCTAAAGTAACATAGTAAGTGATAAAATGTGATGTTTAGAAAGCAAGAAAACCTCAATTATAAATTTAAAAGAAAACCTACCATTTACTAAGTGATTTTTAAGTTCCAAGCACTGGTAGATCAGTTCACGTATTTTATTTAAGGCTCGCGATAAAGCCGTTAGATAGATATTATTATTGCATCTTTGTCTGGGAATTTAAAGTTCATAAAGGTTAAATAATTTGTTCAAGTCACTAAGCTTTAAATTGCAAAACCAACATTTAAACCTAGGTTTGATTTAAAAACCCTTACCAGGGCCGGCCCTGTGGCTTAGCGGTTAATTGCGCGCGCTCCGCTGCTGGCGGCCCGGGTTCGGATCCCGGGTGCGCACCGACGCACTGCTTCTCCGGCCATGCTGAGGCCGTGTCCCACATACAGCAACTAGAAGGCTGTGCAACTATGACATACAACTATCTACTGGGGCTTTGGGGGGAAAAAAAAAAGCCCTTACCGTTAGGTGACGGGGCCTCTCACCCTTAAATATATCTCAAACCCCACAAGTCTGAACCTCATTCAGTAGCCAAATATTTTTCATCAGAACCTCACTCCACTGGAAATAAATATTTAAAAATAAATATTTTTCATCAGAACCTCTCTCCCCCATCTTCTGCCCTCACACATGGACCTATAGACCTTTCTCCTTCCAGCTTATGGCAGAAATGAAAGCCTGGTAGTTTATTTCTTTGCGTATGCTAAGTTTTTCTATGCCAAAGGAAGCAGAGGATACTGAGATTTGGAGTTAGGGATCTTGATTCAAATCCTGGTTCTAAATCATACTCCCTTTTGTGGTCTCAGAAAAGTTAACCAGTTTGAGTGTCAGTTTTCATGTCTGTGACATAGGCCCATCTCAGAGGGCTGTCATGACAATCAGGTGAGATGATGGAGGTACGATCTCTAATACTTAGCAGGTATTCAGTCAGTGGGAGCCAATATAATATAAGGCAGCTGTACTCAAAGCATGGTCTGGGAATCTCCTGGAGTCCTTGAGACCCTTTTAGGGGTTCTGCGACCTGAAAACAATTTTCATGATAATACTAAGACCTCATTTCTCCTTTCCGTGAGTTTACGGTGGTATTCTGCCCAGGCTACAGAGCATGAGATAGCACAGTAGAATGAATGCAACAGCTGTTGAGAGAAGCCACTTGTCTTCTGTTAAGCTAGAGAGAGGCTGTGGTTTCCAAACTTTGCTCTGCATTAGAATCACCTGGAAATCTTTACAAACTATCAATGCCTAGCTCTCACTTCATTCTGATTTAATTGGTATGTGGTGGTATGTGGTCCATTGGGGTTTATAAAAGTTCCTCAGTTGATTTGAATGTGCAGTAAAGTTAAATGGGGATTTGTTTTTCAATGGGTATAAAGTTATTGTTATGCAAGATAAGCTCTAAAGATCTGCTGTAAAACATAGTACTTACAGTTAATAAGGTATTGTGCGCTTTAAAATGTTAGGAGGATAGATCTCATGTTAAGTGTTCTTACCAAAAAACGAAAGCAAAATTCCATGAAAAAACACAAGGAAATTTTTTGAGGTGATTCATATGCTTAGAACCTTGATTATGGTGATGGTATCAGGGGCATATGCTTACATTGTGTGCAATTTTTTTTTGTATGTAAACTATAACTCAATAAAGCTAAAAAAACTAAAATAAAAGAATGTTAAGTAGCCTAAAAAAAGAAATTTGCAAAAATATATATCGGTGCCTCTGTCCACACTAATTTTTTATTTTGGAAAATATAGTGGTTTTAGTAAAAAATCATTTATATTAGTATGTAATGGGTCTTCAATAATATTTAAGAGTATAAAGGAGTTCTGAGACCTAAAGTTTGAGACGTTGGTATGTTGGTATAGGGGTTAAGACCTTGGGCTCTGGAGCCAGACTGCCTGTTGATACCATGGCTCTGCCATTGCAAGCTTTGTGACCTGGGGCACGCTACTTACGCTCTCTGTGCTTCAGCTTACTTGTCTGTAAAATGAGTATAACAATTATTTACCTCTTAGAATTTTTGTGAGATTAAATGAGTAATGCACATAAAACTCTTAGCACGGCGCCTGGAACATTGTAGTGGCTCTTACCAATATTTGCCCTTATTATTGTTACTATTCTAGTTGCTGCATGTGGCTGACATTGATGATCTTGCAGGATCAGTGGAAAATTTGTGGCCAAGCCATTATTTCGACCACCTCATCTTTCCACACAGCAATGGAGTAGGAGCCATTAGGTGGAGTCTCTTGGAGGAACTCCCTGGGCTTTGATTCATTTCTCTGTACAGCGGCAACACGACATTGCTTTCCTTTGGTTCAATGAATGCATGACTAACAGAGGAAATGACACCCAGGTGACGATGTGATGTGGGCAGAGGAGGAGATGGCATTGCAAAGAGGCAGGATGTGTTTCATCAGCCAAAATGTTCCCAGACCCCACTGCCTTGAGTCGCTGCCGTTTGCTTCAAAGAGT